ATTATTTTTGTAACATGAAATTTTTAACTTTAAATTATATTATTTTGTTTGTGTGTGTACGTTCACTTTTTTTTTCTGACAAAAAGTAAAAAAAAAAACAGGAAAAACTTACTCTTTTTCCCTCTGGATTCTTCGATTCCCTCCTCTTGTACCAAACCCAAAGAATTTGCCGCATTTGAAATTCCATTAAGTACGTCAGAACCTTTTACGTCAAATTTAAATGTGTGAGTCCTCATGAATTTTTCAAATCTGTTAAGAACCATCGTTTCGACATTATCTGATTTTTCATCAAGGGATCTTGGCGCCCCATCGGCAGACTCCGTTTTGACAACTTTAACCCCTAAAACAAAATAAAAAATTTTAATAATAATAATAATAATAAATAAATAAATAAATAAATAAAATAATAAACGAAAGAGCAAAAAAAACAAAAAAAAAAACAATTTTTTTCCGTTAATTTCAAATGATAAAATACGTTAAATATGTATGAACCAATCAAAAAAAAAGAATTTTTCATAGGATGATGACGTCACGTACGAATTTCTGAAAGTACTTTTCGTCACGGAATAATTTGATTGGTCGAAATTTTTTTTGTCGTTCGTAAAGGAAATAATACATTTTTTTTTTTGTTTACGCCGAATCACAAGTTCCTTATTAATTTATTTATTAAAATTTTTAAATAATAATGATAATAATGATGATGATAATGATGATGATTACCTTCGTCTATAACGAACGATTCTCTTTCTCCGAGAGTTTTATCCAAATAAGAAAATAATTTATATTTAAAACACGAGATGGAATCTTTTTTACCGCATTCGGTCATAACGTGACTTAATAAATTGTCCGATTGTCTTCCGGTATCCATTGTCGTTGTCGCCATTGCAATCGTCGTACCGACGAAGAAAATCAATAAAAACCCGCACGTAACGCACTTCATTTTTTTTTTTTAAATTTGACTCGAAAAAAAAACGAAATTTTTTATTTAACTAATTAAACGACGATTAACAAATAAATAAATAAACAAATGAAAAACAGAAAAACAAAAACAACAACAACACTTTCTTGTAGAATCCTCTTTTGACATTTCACGAATTGTTTTTATAGTCAATATACATATTTATTTCTCCCCACTATTATTATTATTTTTTCGTTGTTGTTGTTGTTGTTTTCATTATTATTATTATTATTATTATTATTGTTATTAGTTTTTTTTTTTTCGAAAGGGATTTTAAAAAAGTGGAAGGGGAAATAATACTTTTAATCAGGTTTAAGGATGATATGACCGAACCATAATGCGCAAGAAAAGTTCATCATCATCATTACTTTTACGCTTAATTGCATCGCTTTTTCTCTCTCTCTCTCTCACTCCATTTTTTTTTTTTTACTCTTTTTTCTCTCGTGAAAAAAAAAAAAAAAATTTCACGAATCGTACGTATGCTTTTCCAACGTCCAATTAAATTTTTTTCCGTTGACAAAAAAAAAACTACCCGTCAAAAAAAAAAAAAATAATAATCATAATAATAATAATAATAATAATTTTTTTTATCGTTTCTACGTTTTAAATTTGTTGTTGTTTGTTGTTTGTTACCCTTTTCGCGTAAATATTTTATTATTAAAAATTGAAAAATATCAAACGAAATACTTAAAATTATACAAAAAAAATAACAATTATTATTATTATTATTAGTATTACAATTATTTTTAATTTAAACGACCTCATAATAATAATGATGATGATGATGATGATGATGATGATTATGTTGTATAAAAAAAATTAAAAAGTAGAAAAATACTTTTTTTTTTCGAGGGGGAAATAAAATGAGACAGGAGGTATCATAATGTCATTGTGTCATTGTGTTATCTATCCTCTTATCATTTATATTTTAAAATTTACTTTTTACTTCCTTCCTACCTTTATTAATTATTATTATTATTATTATTATTAATAATTTTATTACTTTGACATTTAAGACATTTAAAAATTTTTTTTTACTTTATATACATATACGATTTATTAGACGGTCATGTGTAATTTTTTAAATGATAACAAATCATGTCTTTAAATATCGTGTCCTTTTTTTTTAAAGTTTTTGACCCCTCGTAACCCCCTCCCCTTTACCCCTTCCGGGTCAACGTAACACATACGAGAAAAGAGAGCCTGTGGTATGATTTTTATTTTTTTTATAAAAACCCACGTGAAAAAAAAAAAAAAAAAACAAAACAAATCGGATGCCATTGTTATTATTTATCGAAGCCTTAAATTTTTCTCGGGGGGAGGGGAAATGAGGGTTAAAGGGGTGGTGGATACGAAAGAAAATTTTAGGTTGAGTACTTAAATAATTACCCCTAACGATTTTTTTTGTTTGATTTTTGTGCTTTGTCGAATCCACTAACGACTACCAACGCACTTTTTTAATTAACCGTCGTCAATCCTTTTTTTTTTTAACATTGATATCATTATCATTATCATCATCATTATTATTATCATACACTCCGAGGCATTTTGTTTTAATGTTCCCGTGATTTTTTTTTTTTTTGTTATACTAAAAGGATTAACGAGTGATTTTTTTTTTATTCCTTTTCTTCTTCACTTTTTTTTCTTTTTAATTGGCCTCGATCATTATTATTATTATTATCATTAATATTATTATTATTACCGAGTGTGTTGTGTTTTTTATTAGCCTGGAAAATGATGCATTCGAAGAGGAGAAGAAGAAAAGAGAAAAAAAATTAGTTAGAGGCTGTGAAATTAAAAATAAGAAAATTTTTCGTTCAAAATTCAGACACCACAAAATTTCTCTTTCTTTAATGATTTTTAATTGGTTAATTTTTTTTGGTAAATCGTCTTCTGCTTTTTTTTCTTCTCTTTCTTTCTGATTACATCTTTTAGCCCTAAAGGTTATGCGTGAAATGCGTAAAGAGTAGAAAAAAAAATTTTATATCGTCTACTTTCCCATTGACTCGGTTTCCTTTAAATAATCTTAACCCCTTTTTAAAAAAAAAAAAAAACAAATCGATGATGACGTCATTAATCTTTTTCTTTTTCTATTCGATCGAAAGGAAAAAATCGGACATGTGACCTTTGTAAAAAAAAATTTCTACTGCTACTACTACTACAAATACATAAACTTTTACTTACGACGCGTGATTTTTCGTTTTGGAATTTAAAAAAAAAAAAAAAATTTTTTTTTATACACGTGACACATAAATTCACGTACCTGAACCTGAATATATAAATAAATTTTTTAAAATTAATAATAATAATAATAAAATAAATTTTTTTTTCCCAGCCTTATTTTTTTTCTCTCTACAAAAACGATTTAATCATCGTTTCATTCATTCATTCATTAATTCGTTCATTCGTTCTTTCGTTCGTTCGTTCATTCATTCATTCATTCATTCATTCAGTCAGTCAGTCAGTCAGTCAGTCATTCAGTCATTCATTCCTTTAAATAATAATAAACAATCGAAACTTTTTATTTTTTCGTAAGCATTATTAAAAAAAGGGCGGAAAATTTTTTGTTTTTTCTTTATTGTTTTAATAATGGCGGCGGCGGCGGTAATAAGCAACAATGGCGGTAGTGACGGCGGTACGAAACGGCGGTAAATTCTTCTTGAAACCTTTTTTTATTCGCGTTAAAAAAAAAAAAAAAAAAAAAAACGATTGTTAAACGTAAAAGTAAAAAAAAAAAAATTTCTATTTTGATCTCATTATAGGATCCGTCGTAACATATATTTTTCTTTTTCTTTTTTTTTATATTCATCGTCTGCTATAAAAACGTGAGTAAAATTTATTTTAAATCCTCCGTGAAAGAATTAACAATAATGTTAATAATAATAATAATAATTTTAACGAATGATGATAATAATAATAAACAATAAATAAATTTAAAAAAGAAAAAAAAAAGGTGTTAATATTTATTATATACGCTACTTTATTTTCATTATTATTATTACTATTACTATTATTATTAATTTCGTTGCAGCCTTTATCCATTATTATTATTATTATTATTATTATTATTATTATTATTATTATTATTATTGATTTTATCGTCGTTGCATTTTTTTAATTAATTTTTTTTTTTTTTAACAAAAATAACACCAAATTCGTTTGCGTTTGTTCGTTTTCCTGTAGGAAAAGTTTTGAGGTTCCAGGTTTTCAGGGGGGAGGGGAGGGGAGCGTTTATAAGGTTCCACGGGAACGCTTTATGAATTTTTTCTCGTATTAGCAGACGATATAAGTTTAAAAACATAAACGTAGGAAAAGAAAAAAAAATGAACGTTTAAAAAGTAGTAAAAAAAAAAAATTATCATCATCATCATCATCATTATCATTTAAGAGTACGAGAATGAAAATTATGTGTTAAATATTATGGAAAGGATGGTTTTAAAGTAGTTAACGAGTTACTGGAATTGAGAATAAGACAGCTGGAAAAGTAATAAAAAAAAAAAAAAAGTTTCAATGATTTAAATAACTGAAAAAAAAAATTTTTTTTTTTTTTTATTGTGATTCGCCATCTTGTCTGACGGAGCAAAAAACTTTTTCACTTAAATGAGAAAAAAAAAAAAAACTTTCTCCGGGAGTGTTCTTCCAGAGTGCTTTTTTTTATACCTACTTGTCACTTTTCTCTCTCTCTCTCAAAACATAAAGTAAAAAAAAAAAAAATTATTCATAACGTGTAATTCAAAAAAAAATGATTTAAATACTCTATGATAAATTCCATAGAGAGAATAATTTTTATCGTATCCCACCGATCCCCTTTTTCAAAAAAAAAAAATTTCCCCACAAAATCCAGTCGTGAAACAACAAATTCCAGTTTCGAAAAAAAACGTACGAAATAATTAAAATTAATAATAATAATAATAATAATGATAATAATAATAATTAACCCACATAAACCACGACGTCATTGTTTTTATGTATATAAATTATGGTCACCCAAATTTTATTATTATCATTATCATTATTATTTATTATTTGAGCAGCACTGAATTTAAATTTAAAAAAAAAAAATTAACATTTTAACTCATTGTTTAAGTACTGTTACTCCAGATAACAGTTAATAATAATAATAATAATAATAATAATAATAATAATAATAATAATAATAGTTATTGTTTAAAAAGAAGAAAAATTTTTTTTTTATTCGTTTGTACGAGGCGGCTTTTTTCTCGTCACAATTTTTTTTTTGTTGTTGTTGTTGTCAACATTTTTTTAAGTGAGACCGCATTTGTTTAATCGATAGTTGATGTTGATCGTTATGAATGGAAAAAATTATCATTATTATTATTATTATTATTATTATTATTATTATTATTATTATTATTATTATTAATATCGGAAAATTTTTTTTAAATAGGAAAATTTTATTTCTCGTTTCGATTATGTAATTTTTTTTAAAATAAAATTTTAATTATTATTAAAAACTTATAAAATATTCCACGTGATGATAATTAACAACGATGATGATGATGATGATAATGATGATGATAATGATGATGATAAAACTCGTTTTTCTCACGATCTAAAACAAACAAACAAGCAAACAAACAAACAAGGAACGAATAAAATAAATGAGAAGAAATTAAAAAAAAAAAAAAATTTTTTTTTTATTTTCACTCATTCCGGTTAAATTGAATTCTTTTCTATTCATGGAAATCGAAAATCATCGGGTGAGGGGAGGGGAGGGGAAGTGGGGAGGGAGGGAAAACAAGTTATAAGAATATAATAGAATATACCGTTAGTTATATTCACGCAGTAATGATGAACGCACGCACGCACGCACTCACACACGCACGCACTTTATGTTGAAGTGTGGTCGTGAAGAAAAATAAGTCGGCGGGTTTTTTTTACTTTATTTTATCATCGTCCGACGACAAACGCAACAAACAACAACAACAATCAAACTCTACTTTTCCCTTCTTCTTCATCTCAAAAAAAAAAGAAAAAAAATGGGACAGGAACAAGTTGTTGTTGTTGTTGTTTTTTTTTTTTTTTTCCAAGAATGAATGACCCGTGGACATTTACTCACATATATATCTAGGTCACACACTTTCCACCGTACAATTTATTATCATCATCATCATCATCATCATCATCATCATCATTATTATTATTATTATTATAATCATCATCAATTCGAATATATTATTTATTTATTTATAAATAAATAACCGTCTGCGTTCCCTTTCAGTTTATTTTTATTTTGTATTGTTTTTTTATTTTTGTTAAAATCATATAGTGCCCTCACCACCACTACCATCACCACCGCCACCCCCATTTGGACGCCATTTTAATTTTTTTTTCATGACGAAAAAACAAAAAAAGTTTACCGAGTCGTTGACATCATTTAAATTAAATTATGTGTAAATTTGAAGGGTTTCGCATTTATTAAAAAAACCTTTTTTCCATTACTTTCAACCTTTTTATCGCCTCCCCTTTTTACCTCTCCCTCCCCTCCCATCTCTCTGTCTCTCTTTTAATTTATGATATTTGATTTAAAACGGGTAATTAATTAATTAATATTTTTCGTCACCTTGTTTTAATTTTCGTCGAAAAAAAGGTTTAGAAAATGGGTCGCTATTAAAAAAAAAATTTTTTTTTTATTTTACACCCTTTTACACATGTGCGTAAGTAATAATAATAATAATAATAATAATAATAATAATTATAATAATAATAATAATAATAATAAATAAAGTTTTTTTTTTAAATAAGAAAAAAACGCGGGAAAGTTATTAACGTGACTCGACATATCATCATCGACATCATTTTCATTATTATTATTCGTTAAAAAAATTATTATTATTATTATTTTCTTTCTTTCTTATCACGTTATTGTTGTATTTATGTTAGTCGTAATAATAATAATAATAATAATAATAATAATAATAATAAATTAAATGATTTTATCTCGTATTCACCAAAGGTCAATTTAGAAAAAGAAAAAAACTGTGAAATCAATATAATAGAAAATAAAAGTCGTAAAAAAAAAAAATTAAAAAGTAATACAGGTCAACGAAATAGGATGTATCGATTGCCAAAAAAAAATTATTTATTTATTTATTTATTAATTATTAATTTAAACGACCCGACAACCAAAAAAAAACAACAAAAAACAACACAACACAAAAAAAACACAAAAAAACAACAAAAAAAAGTTGTTTTTTTGTGTGTTTTTCGTTGGAAAATACACGAATATTAAAGACGTAATAAAATAATAATAATAATAATAATAATAATAATAATAATAATAATAATAATAATAATAATAATAATAATAATAATAATTTTTCACTCGTTTCGTTTAAAAAAAAAATATTAAACGATAGGATTTGTCGGTTAATTTAAAAAAAAAAAATTTCGTCGTGGCAGAAGGTCGGTCGGTATTGAACTTGTGCTATGAATATTTTTGTTAATTTCACGAGACCACACCGCGATAATCCAAATTCTTTTACTTGTTCCACTTACATTTAAATTTGAATAAAAAAGAAAAAACGAAAATTCTTTTACATATCTTTTGTTTTTTTATATATTAAATTTATATATTTAAAAATAATAATAATAATAATAATAATAAGTTTTAGAAAGTAATTATTAATAATATAAATTATTTTATAATTTGTTTAACTATCGTAATTATTTTATTTACAAATGTATTTTTTTTAAATCTATTTGCCCTATTATTGTTATTATTATTTAGTATCATTATTATTATTATCGTTTAATGTTGGTTTTAGAAAAATGATTAATTAATTACGCGAATTTTTCGATTAAAATTTATTTCGAAAAACAATTTTTCGATTAAAATTTATTTCGAAAAACAATTTTTCTTTTTTTCTTTTTTTTTCCCCCCTCCTTCGAATATTTCGTTTGTTTGTTTGTTTGTTTGTCCGTAACACATCACATGAATTATTTAGTATACCGTTTACGTTTTTAATATTTTATCTTCATGAGAAAGGTTATAATAATTATTAAAATGGCGTTCGAAAAAGAGTGGAATAAATAATCTCAAAGGTTTTCATTTCCCAAAGGCTTTACTTTTGTATTTTTCCTTTTTTTTTTTGTTGGCTACGGTTATTTTTCTTTTTTTTTTTTTTTTAAATTAAAGTTATTCATATTTATATGACTTACCAAGAGTAAAAAAAATTAATAAAAATTACTCATATTTATTTAATTATGATTTAAAAACTAAAGTAAAATTTGTTTAAAAAAAAAAAAGAAAAAAAAACGTGGAACATGATAGAACAAAGATTTTCGTCTGATTGTTTATAAAAAGAAAACGTCACTAGCGACACCTATAAATTTTTTATAGAACTATTTTAAAAACTATGAATACCTGATTCTTTGAAATAGTTTCTAAAAATTCCGATAGGTGGTGTTTTTTCCCCTCGTTTTTGATGAAATGATCAATCACACGCATAGAATAAATAAATTTTAAATAAACGTGGAAAAAGAAACGTGGATAAAGATTTTAAAAAAAAAAAAATGGCGGAGGGGAACTTGATCAAATATTAGAAAAATTAATATTTATGTTTTACATTCGTTAAAAAATAAAACAGACTAAAAAAAGTATTAAAAAAAAATGCATGAACGAATCGCATTAATTTATTATTTTATCAAATCCATAAAAAAAAATTTTTCTCTCTTTAAAAATCATTCGATTATCCGCCGCCATTTTGTTTTGTCATTTTAATATGCGAATGAATGAAAATCGTTAAGAAAATTTAAAGAAAAAAAATTATGTAAAAATGCAAAAACGCCGAGTAAAAATATTAATTAATTATTTTATATAGTGACAAAAAAAAATGTTCTTCTGCTATAAATAATTATTTTATCATTACATAATAATAATAATGATCAGAAAAGCGTAATAAATAATTTATAAATAAAATTAAATTATTAACCGTTTTAATAAGAAAACGAATTCAAAAAAAAAATTGAAAGAGAGAGAGAAAAATTTATTTTTATGATAATTAATTAAATTAATTATTAAAAAAAATATATCGCTGTAAAAAAAATAATGATAATAATAATAATAATAATAATAATAATAATAATAATAATAAATTTTATTTCAAAAAAATAAAAATTAAAAAAAAATGAAGACGTCATGTTAAATTTTTTTAACGTTTTAATCAAATTTTAATGTTTTTTACGTTTGTGAACGTCGAAAAATTCGTGGCATCAGAATAAAAGATAAAGAAAAAATTGAAAAGTTTGTTATAATTTTTCATCGTGACAGTAATTATGAAAAATGCTTTTAAAAAAATTTTTTTTTACGGTTCGGTCAGTTACAAACAAACATTTTTCATTAATTTTTTAGTTTCCCTTCTCCTCGCCTCCCCCCGACTCGAAACAAAACAAAAAAAATAAATTGAAACCGAAAAACAAGAAGTGGAAGGTAGGAAGAGAGGAGGAAAGAGGGGGAGGGAGAGGGAAGGAAAAAACAATTCATAATTGTGGGAGGGTAAAAAAAAATTCAAAACGAAATATAAAAAAATAACAACAACAACAGAAAAAACTTCAAAAAAAAAAAAAGTTTTAACGCATTTAGTAATAATAAAAATCAAAATGGCGTCCGAAATTCGGTGATTTAAAAACAAAAAAAACTCCGTCGTCACCTCATCGATAACACACTCTTTACTAAAATTATACATAATAATCAAATCAATCATCATCCTGTCACGTGCCCCCCCGTTTGTGTTTGTTTTTGTAACGTTTTTTTTTCTTTCATAGTTATTATCATTATTAAAATTTAAATAATAATGATAATAATAATAATGCACTCGAATTGATTGTTTTATCGATTTGTCGTCGACCAAACGAGTATCGATTATTTTCGTAAAAGAAAAATTTTTTAATAGGGTAAATTAATAACGTGGGGGCACGTGTGACAATTCATTATTAAATTTAAAAAAAAAAAACTTTTTTCTTACCTGAAATTTACCATCAGAATAATAATTAATAATAATAATAATGATAATAAAATTAATTATTATTTTAAAATGGTGACGTATATTTAATTATAACCGTCGTTTATTTAAAAAAAAAAAAATTTAATAAATAAAAATTATGACGTATGATGACGTCAACAACGTATTTACGATAAAAGTTTAACATTTACATATAAAAATATTTATGCGAGTTTGTCGTTTGTTTAATTTTCATATTCATTTATTTTTTTTTTTTGTCAAATATACGATCTAAGACAATTTTATTCAAATGCGTATTTTTTGTTTGTCGTTTGTAGTTTCGAATTAAAAAAAAAAAAATAATAATAATAATGATAAAAATTTGAATATGTGTTTATTATTTACGTATTTATATATATATGAACATGTTATGTATTTATATTATTTTACATAATTATACTTTGTGTCATTTTGTTTTAAATGGCAGTTTGAATCGTGTCGTGAATAATAATGATAATGATAGTGATAATAATAATAATAATAATTTCGATGGGAACAAAAAAAAACTTTCCGGTCGAAAGCTGCCCTCGAAATTTATTTTAAAAAAAAAAAATTTTTTTTTTTTTTTGGGGAGCGTTTTTCATTATCATTATCATATATTATGTATGCATGTATTAATAAATTATAAATAAATAAAATATAATAATAATAATAAATAATGTGTTTTGATTTCGTTGGCATCTGATAACCGTTCCAAAGAAGGTATCGGTCGATAATTAAACTAAATACTAAAGAGGTAAAAAAAAAAAAGAAAAAAAAATTTTTTTTTTAAAGTATGAAAATTAATTTTTTGGTATGTACGATCTGTAAGCCATGTTGTGAGCATCGTGTTTTCCAACATCCGTAGCACTTCTTCCCCAACCTGAACTGTATGAATCGTGTCCGCCGCCACCACCACCGTGACCATGTTCAACATGTTCGACGTGACTATGAGTGTGATGTGGTTGCGCGACGACCTAAACAAGAATAAAAAAAAACAATGAAAATTTTTGTTCCCTCCCCCCGATTAATTAATAATTAATAGGAAATCGTACCTCGTAAGTCACGTGTTTTTCTTGATGGAAAAGTTTTTTCAAACCGATGATGGCTGCTAAGAGTAATGCGAGTTTAGCAACGACCAAAGCTTTACCAACGAGTAACGCCAATCCTTTGAGTGCCAATGCACCAGCCATTCCAGCTTTCATTGCCATCAATGCAAGTATGCCACCCATTCCTTTGTTTTTTTTCCTACCTGTAATAAACAATAATTAAATCGTGTCATTAGAAAATTAATAAATATACCTGTTAAACAAGTATTCCGGTTATAAAAATTTTATTTATTTCCGTAAGGTAAAAAATAAATAGATTTTCAATATTAGAAAAAATACGCATTAAAAAAAAAAAAGAAAAACTCGTTCGTCTTGTTTGTTCGTTGGAATTTAATCAAACAAACAACCTTTCTCTTAATATCACTATCATTATTATTATTATTATTTTCACTCGAAGCAGACGACGAATAGATTTTTACAAAAACAATATTTTTTTTTTACGAATAGAATCTCATGCGTATACTTAAACCCGGTTTAAATAATTTCATTTTTATTTCCATTTTTTCAGTTGTTGTTGTTGTTGTTGTTATCGCGGTTGTTGGTTGTTGTATTTTTTCGCGACAAAAAAATTTTCACAGCTAGAAGCATCAAACCGATTTAATATGACAGATTATTTAAGTAAGTTGTTGTAAAAGTAGAGCGTAAAAATTTTAGATAATTACATCTGTGAGTAATAACTGAGTACCGAATTAAAAAAAAGATGATAATAATAATAATAATAAAACGTTTCGGGGAATAAACGTGGAATTAGAGGAAAAAAGAAAAAACAACGTTTCGGGGAGAGGGGGGGGTGTTTTTTCTATAAAAACAACAAACCTTCGAAATTATCTGGTGAAATTTTATTGAGCGACATTGCCAAATTTAAATTTCCGTTAGAATCCGGATTTGACGTGATAACAGCTTCCATCGATGGAATCAAACGAAGTTTCAATGACCTTGA